CAGCAGCTGACTTGGGGACGCCTGGGGTTCTTAAGTTGAATCTGTATGTAAGTCAGAACTGGTGTCCAGATTCAGCCATTGTTGAAAGTGATCAGTTTCAGCAGCGGCTGAATCTGGATGCCAGTTTCGACTTACATACAGATTCAACTTAAGAACAAACCTACAGTCCCTATCTTGTACGTAACCCGGGGACTGCCTGTATAAATAAATATTTTTGAATTTCCCTCCTAAATTTTAAATGTATTTATTTCAATTACACAGGAAGTGTACAATTGCACACTATTATTTTAGTGCAAATATTTGCCGGCTGAATCTGGATGCCAGTTTCGACTTACATACAGATTCAACTTAAGAACAAACCTACAGTCCCTATCTTGTACGTAACCCGGGGACTGCCTGTATAAATAAATATTTTTGAATTTCCCTCCTAAATTTTAAATGTATTTATTTCAATTACACAGGAAGTGTACAATTGCACACTATTATTTTAGTGCAAATATTTGCACTGTAAAAAATAAGAAATAGCATTTTTAAATTAATTCACTGAAATAAAAATAGTTAGTAAATATCTCTAAAATGCAATTTTCAAATGTTGATTTGTTTGTTTTTGATCGCAGTTATATTAAAAAATGTAAACTTTAGACTCAACAATGCATGAAGGGCACAGGAACATTTAGCATATCTGGCACTTAAATATCTTGCAATGCAGACTATAAAGTGCCATCCTAATGCCTGTTACTTTCAAGCAACATTGTAAATAAAGCTGCTTGCTTATCTCCTGTAAATGTAATCAAACTTGTTTGTCTTAGCAGCTGGCTGAACAAGAAGTAGGGCTGAGTGGACTTGTATGAGTTGAACTGAAAATACTATTTCTTTTGTTTATCTTTCTTCACAGTGCAGATACAAATATTAAGTATGCACTGTACATGTTGAATTCTGCATTATCACTGAAATCAATATACTTGAAAATATAGAAAAATATACAAAACTGTCTTAATCAGTTAATCCCATTGACTACATGCACTCCGCCCCCTTGCTGCCTCTGTATCAGAGGCAGCAAGGGGGCAGGGAAAACAGAGGAAGGCTGCCACGGAACAGCCTCTGTCTGGCTCCCCTGTGGACCGGATTCCCCGACACCTAGACGAGTGCCAAAAGCCCCTGGGTTTTATGTTCCCCACCTCTATTCTAGAGAATAAGGGATGCAGAATATGTTTTTTTAGATTTGGTGCCCCAGTGAAAATGCTGAACTGGTTTCCAAGAGTAGGAAAATTCCATATTAAACAATCACCCATCACTTGGGATGTTAGCAATTAACTGAATAGTTGTGTAACCGCACAAAATATGATTGGTTACATGACCATTTGATAGTACCTGGGAGTGGAGCCAGCATGCTTCCAGACCGACTCCCGGGGAACCCCTTGCCACCCTGTGCTGTTGCCTCTATCAAAAACCTGCTGCCTCTGACATAGGGATAGCACCAGCACTTGTCTGTGGAGAGGTGGGTGAGGGTCCCTCCAAGTTCACTGAAGACAGACTGTGCCAGCATTCCATGAAGCAGCCTCTGTCCACAGCTAGCTTGGACCTACCGCAGGCAGAGGCTGCTCAGCAGCAGCCTCTCCTACCCACATGATTGGCTCCCACCTGCTCCCCCCTTGCCCTGCACTGCTGCCTGTGATAGAGGGGAGTGGCTTGCATGAGTGGATATGTGCAGGGAGTTGGTTTGAAAGATGGTTTCTCGTGTATACTGGCCTCCACATGCTCCCTTCAATCTCTGTGCTGCTGCCTCTGTAGGAGGGGGGTGAGTCAGTCAGCAGCATGGATCCAGTGCTCATGGGGAGCTGACTTTTAAGCCAGCTCTCTATGGCACTGACTCCTGCTCTCCTCCCCATCTGATACAGAAGCAGCAAGGGGAAGGGGAGTGTGTGTCGTCGATAAGATTAACCAATAAGCCCAGGCTTATTAGTTAATTGTGGTCTTGAGTATACATTGACATCCCTATAGTAAGCTAAAGGCAAAGCCATTTTCAGGCAGATATTAGGTGTCAATCAGAAGAATTGTGACAACCTTTTGGGACCCCTAGGAAGAAGTGTCTTCACTACATATATTATTGGTATTTCAGGCCAAAATGGCTTTTAAGATTAAAATTAAACACCCCATTGTCACAGATGTAATTTTAAGGGTTCAAGACTCACAAAACTTTAGGACCACATTAAGTAAACCTGGGCTGTGAGACCAGCATTATACAATAACACAGGAACCTGAACCTTCTCTACCTATTTACAGTTACACTTGCGCAATGATCCTTCTCAGACGGGAAGTTAAACAAAATAAAAACAGAATGATACACAGAAGTGAAAATATCAGCATTGATTCTCCTGATCTTGAATGGTACAGTGACTTCCCGGGAGTGTATTTGTCAGCTAAGATCTACAATTGCTAGGGTGGATTAAAATAATTTAAAAAAAAAAAGTTCTCTTCCTTATTTAATTTGGATTTTATTGAAATTAAGTATAGGCTTTTTTTTAAACATACTATATTAAATTAGAAATTAAGAACTTATGTTGAGGCCAAAGCTTATTAGAATCTTAAAATTACTTAAACATTAAAATCTTAAGGGATACAGGTTTACTGCCAAATTTTAAAGACTGCCAAAACCACAAAACTGGTAGAAGTCACAGGCAAAGAAGCTGGAACCTGTATTTGTTCAACAGTTTTTGAAAGCGATAACCTTTTCTGCAAATAATTTTCTTCTTTACATTTTATTCAACTAGTGCTGTCCAATTACAAGTGTATTTCAAGTTAAGAAAGCAGCAGAGAGTTGAAAAAGCAGGAACGCTTGTTTTACTCTCTACCAGTGTACAAACAAAAAGCTAAATATGAGAGGATGACGACCAGAAACCATTCATTAGTTCAATTTACTAACTACACACAATACTGGTTATAAATTAATTAGTTTTAAAATGTAAAATGTGGCTTGTTAAACTTTTCTCTTATATATCTAGCATATTTAAAGCAATTTTATGTAATGAATAAACTGCCAGTTTTGTATATTTTAAATTGTATTTTAATTGCCATCCAAATACAATAGTGGTTCCCAAACTCTGGGGCATGCCCCCTTAACATTTGGGGATTGCAGGACAAAGATGCTCTGCCTCTAGCCCAGATCTATTCTAAACACAGCTCTACCCTGCCCTATGCTCTGGCCTCAGCTGCAGCTCCACTCTACCCCCAGCCTAGCTCTGCCTTCATTCCCTCTTTACTCCCAGGCCAGCTCTGTGAGCACTAGCTCCTCCCCCATCTCCAGTCCTGCCCAGAGCTCTGCCTTCTGTTGAAGGATCCTTGGCTGTGCTGTAATGGAAAAGGAGCATGAACAGTTTCTATTGATAGTAAGATGGGGTGTGACAGGAAAAGTCTGGGTACTACAGAAAGAGAGCTTAGCACAAATCACAACCAAAAAATTGATATAATTGCTTTTAAAAAGTGGATCGATATCCTCTTGACTCTCAAAAATAAACACCAGATGTAATGTAAGCACTATATTTAGTCACAAAATCAACACGTTTTAATGATTACCAAACAATGAGCTTAATTTCGGGGGGGGGGGGGGGGGGGGGGGGGGTTGTGGGTGTGGTGGGGGCCCTGCCTCTCCCTAGAAAGGGGGGGAGGGGGGTGTTGGTTTGTTTGGTTTTCTGATTTAAAATAGATTAAAATCAGTGATGTCATCCTGAATTGCAGATTTTATAAAAAGCACCAGTCAGAAAATATATGCATAATACTATACATTTCCTGAAGTTGCTCTGCA